TATGAAATTTTAATAACAAAACCAAAATAATTAAGGCATTACTGTGTTATACATTGAACGATTTTAATTTTTAATTAAAAAATATACGTAAAATACGTATTGATAAAAATAAAATGAAATCGTTGAATAAGATTAGATACTGATCATTGTACAAAGATTTTCGACGTATATTAATAAAGTATAAGGATCCACGATAAAATCTAATTAGACGTATGACGTTTAATTAAAATCGACCATACGTGCTCCAAAAACCTATTGGAATTCGATAAAAATTTTCGAAACAGTCCACTATAATTGCTGGAAATCCTGGAAAAAAGTCCATCGTATGTATGAAAAAAATTACACGAAGAAAAATTGTAATTTAAATCCATCGCGGAATAATAGAATGTATTTATGACGTGAAATCTCTTGAAATAACCGAGACGTAAAGAAATAAAATATTTTGTGTAATACCATGTTTACATACATAAATATTATAATTATTTCATAAAGCGCAATTATCCTTTCATCGAGACTCGTAAAACTCCAAGTTAAAATTTTAAATTCGCGAAATATAAACACCAATTAATGGAAATTCTATAGGGAAAATAAAAATCATCAATCTGGATACATTTTTCTTTCTCGCACGTGTACAACGTGTTCAATTTCATCGCGAATGAACGTTTAATATCTGGAAAATCAAGTTAAATTCGGAAACTAGCTTAAATTTGATATTTCAAAACTTCCAACCAACACATCTTGAGCGCAAAATCGGCTTACCGAATCCTCCATCTAAAATTAACTATCACTAATGCGCTGCCCTCGTCCAACATCGTTCCAAAGTCGTGTCACGTCACAACTCGAGTTAAATCGATGTTTGGTCGCGACAGGAATTTTCCAAACGAGAAAAAAAGCGGCCGTTCCGTCAATTACACTTGTCCAAATTACCAAATCAAATATTAGCCCGGCCACCGACGTGGAGGATAATAGAGGCTGAAATTAGAACGGGAGGAACGAAGATGGAGTAGATGGCGTACCTTGGACAACCTATATAAAAATCGAGGGCGGCACGCGCTATCGTTTGCCGAGTAAACTCTTTTAATTGAACACGGGGGTGGCTAAGAGTCTATGCTCTTTCCAGATACCGACCGATCATTTCATAGTTTCGATAAATGGATGGAATTGGCGGAGAAAGAATTAGCTTGACGGAAAAAACTTTCTCGTTCTGTTTGAAATTACGATTATTCTTGGTGTAACATTTTTTTTCTTTTTTTTTTTTTTATAGAAATCGAGGAGGATTTTTCCATGTAATTTTCGATGAATCACAGAGCGTAGAGCGCGCGCCGAACGATTGGATTGGACAAAAATTTCAAAATCGTCGAAATGGACGAGTTATTTTACAATATTTCGAAATTGACGATTTAGGTATGTGTTGTTAGAGTTTATACAACTATGATTTTTGAAATACCTTTTTTCTATTTTTTTTTATTTTTTCGATTGACAAATAACTATCGCTTTTTGTAGTTATGTACTTTTTTCTTTTGTAATCTTTTTTGTATTCGATTTATATTGGTGGACATTTTAAAAGTATTTTATTAATAATCGTTTCGTTGGAATATTCGTCAAATTGATCGTATTCGATATTCATTTATCAATTGATATCCAATTTCACGAATTAAGAACAATTCTTCGACGCCTTCGATTTTCATTGAAAGAAATCGGTGGAACGTGGTGGTTTTAACAAATCTTTCGTAAAATGTGTGTCCGCAGATTGGCCCAAGAAAACAAATCTACTCTTCTACTACTTGAAACTTATTTGAGCCGGCAATCGATTCGAATTCCATCGGTAGAATCGCATTCTTAGAAAATCCCTCTTTGCAAAAGTATAACGTTCCGATAAAGCAGATCGTGAATCGCCATCTCTTCCTAGTAATAGACTAGGAAGTACCTAGCGGACGAGTACGTTCATCTCCTCTTTCCCCCTTTCCCAGTTTACCAACCGTAATCACGTTTCTTATTCAAAGAACAAAAGGGAGAGGAAAGGAAGGAAACGAGGGATGGACAGAAGGAAGATGGATGTACGCCATCATTTCGAAGGAGCTCGAGATTCATTTGATCAAACGCGATGTACAAAAGGGGGGAAAGGTTTCCATGAATTATTCCCCGCCATCTCGATCTAATTCCTTTGAAACAGGGTAGAGTAAACTTCGAATTACAGAGGTGGGGATATAAACGAGCAATCGACAATCGTGTTACACAATCGGCTGCGTACAAGCGATGCAAGGCACGCGAGTATCGATGATTTACCTTATCGAAACGAGGTTAAATTACCCTGAAACGTCGGCGTGACTTTGGCCGTTCCTCCAAAGTAGCCTCTCCCCTCTTCCCCCTCTCCCTCTCCTCTAGCCACACTTTCGATTCCAAGGGACATTTACGTTGGCCATCTCGAATCGATCGAGAGTCGTCGATCGTGCTCAAACTTCCTCGTCCAACGATTAAAGATCCTGTTTATATCGGCAACTTTGATCGACGAACCGAACGTTGTTTCGCGTGTAAACGCAGCTCTACGAGCTTGCAAACACAGATTTTGTTTCTAAATTGAGCCGAGTAAGAATATCCAAGTACCAAGTAATGTAATCTGTATACGCAAAATTGCGACGCAGACGATATATCGATGTTTCCGCAAGAGAGAGAAAGAGAGAAAGAGAAAGAGAGAAAAAAATAAAGCTGCCGCGTCGCAACGAGTCGGTGGTATGAACTAAACTCGGCTATCCGTAAAATCTGGTCAACCCACATCCACCCCATGATCTAAGTGTTCGAAAGTTAAGCTACCGACGGAAATCAAATGGTTGGTCTTCCTACCTTCTCCGTTTCGCTCGTCCGCTTGCACGATTGTACGCGCGAGAGGTTTGCGCGAGCGACAGTTCTTGCGGCTGGTTTGTCCTGGCTCACACGACGCGGCTCCGTAACGAAACGAAACGAACGTGGTGGCACATATACAGAGCGAAAGAAGGGGGAGAGCTATCTTCCGACCCGTCCATTGGCTCTAATAGGATAATGAAACGTGAATCATGGATGTACGGCGGACGATTATATTTTTATTGTGACCCACGCTCAATTTATTCATTATTTTGTTGAGGCCAATATCATTGGTACGAGGTGTAGGAAGCCATTGCTGGTCGGAAAGCATCGCTCGAGAGTTCCTACGGGTCCCCGTGCTACTATTACTTTTTATTATACCACGACGAATTAGAAAATAAACGTATAAATGGATTGGCTACATCCTCCGCGTACTCGTAACGATCGTGTAATTAGCCAAGACAGATCTCACGGGAAATCGCCATGTCCTACGCCAACCCTATGCCCCTTCTCACTCCTTCTTCCGCGAAATTAGATCCCCGAGTATATCGAGAAATATACGACGCGCTCGTTTAAATTCAATTTAACAATTGATTATCGATCGAAGATCGACGTTTGCGGTAGCCATGTTGTGATTCGATTATATTCGAAAGTTTACACCGTGGCGCGATATAGTATATGCGCTAATCGTCTTCCAAGTTGCGCCAACTTTGTGACCGAAACATGTTGCACGTTACAGAGTAACCAAGTAAAGGAAATCGATCAATTTCGATGCAACGATATAATGATATTCTAGTAGGAGGAAACGTTAACCAATAGAGCGGGAAACAAAATTTTTTGTACCTTTATATCGTTTCTACCAAATCAATTTTACCAAGTTTTTAAATAATATTTATAATATTCTTTTCTTCTTATTTTTTTTTTTTTACAAATCTTCTTGCCAAATCCATTAAATCTCGAACGAATGAACGAGGAGACCGAAAACCTGTGCTAACCGCAAGAAAAACCAGTTCATCCTAGCGCGGTGGTGTGCAATCATTGTCGATTTTCACTTGGTGCGCGAGCCAACTTTCCACGATTCCGACCGGAAATCGACTGCATCGAAATTGTCGACAGTCGACAGGGCTGGCTTCCGGGACTCTCCGGTAAATGAGACTGTCACGCTGTAAAATTGACTGACCGATTATTCCATTTTCACAAGAATCGAACACGAATTCGCCCGAGTATTGGAAAAGTACGATATAATTTTACGTGATCAAATTTTAAGATTTATTTGTTTTTTTTTTTTTTTTTTATCCCTTTCTGCAAATTTTCGATCGAAGCAATGAACGCAGTTTCGAGAAGATTGAGGTCTCAAGATACGTGAAAAGGGGAAAAGAGAAGAAAAGAAAATTTTTATGGCCACAGACCTTAGGAAATATGAAAAAACTTCAGTTACACCGATAACATCAATGTAATCGGTTTATTTCTTCAGAATCCATCCAACTTATTCTTTTATATAAAAGTTACGATATAAAATCGATATAAAATCATTACGATTGTATAGAAATTATTTTCAAGTCGGAATAAATCAAATTTTTGTTGGATATTTAATTAATTTTTCTTTTTTTTTTCTTTCTTTCTTACTTTCATTCCCGCGGGGATATAAATCTTTCCGATTCCGTCACGATTAAACGATGTATAATTATATTTACGACTCTGTGCACGAGTCTAAGTTTCACCAAGGAAGATTGAAATAAGAATTTTAAGCAGGTTAGAGTATACATTTCTTCGTGAAAAAAATCTTCTTGAATTCTTTTCGCAATGGTATCTCGAGAGAAACGCGAGGGAGATAAATGTTCTAGCGCAGAGCGCAAAAACGTCGGATTATGAGATTGACTAGACGCAAAGCCGATTGGTGAACAATGGTACGTGGTTTTTAAATGGAAATATGGCATTCGTCCACGAAACCGACTAAATGTCGCGACGAAATATTGCAAAAAAATGTCAACCAAATGATATTTTCATGGAGTATAAAACACGGCTACCCGTGTATTTTTTTTTACGTCCTACAATTATTAAAAACTATACAGATTGAGTGAAAATAAAAATTTCAATCCCTTGAAATTGAAATTAAAACTTTTGGAAATATATATTGCGTTAGCGTGTAATATTTTTTTTATATTTAGACAATAATGAAAATCGAAAATGAAAGATTATGGGATATATATATATATATCGTCCGAGTTTCTCTCGAATGAAAAATTATTCGAAAGGGGTTAATATACCCTGAATGGGGAATATTAAGTTAATGTCAGTCGCACAAATGGACGATGAGAAAACATAGAAAAAAAACTTTTAATCTTATCAATGCAATTTCCCGAGTAATCCACTTATTTCTACTTCTTTTCATCATCGATAACATTCGTAACTCATCTTATCTACTACTCAATCTACTTCTTTTCATCATCGATAACATTCGTAACTCTTATCTAATTTTTCTAAATCGGTACGTTCGTGATATTTAGACTACCGTCTATTTGCATCATTGTTATCAAAAACTGGAAAAACTTTCTGCAACATATAAAATATCGAGCAAACAAATCGTAGTACGATTTTCGAAATCCGAACATCGAAATCTTTTGAAATTGATGATATAAAATAATATTACGCAATTTAAAAAATATTCATTAACAGTATAAATGAGGAGGAGGGGGGGGGGGGG